TGTCCCGGGCCTGGCGCAGCGCCTGGCCGGCAGGGACCCTTGGCCAGCAGGCGCAGTTACAGGGTCACGGAGTGAGTCAGCGGTAAAGCCAACGCTGGCACGAGACCCACCACCCCAGAAGGGCTTTCCTCGCTCCCCTGCTCGGCGGCTGCTCTGGGCAGTGCTTTGAGCGAGGCCGTGAGGGCTGGGGCGCGAGTGGGGGAGAAGGTGATAATTACAGTTGTTTCAAAAGCCTTGAGGCAGCTAATAACTGGTCAACCACAGCCACTAGCATTAGCTACATCAGGGGTTTTCCACGTGTGGTCCCCAGAGAAGGAACGTCAGTACCACCAGGGAACTTTGCAGAAATGAAGATCCGCAGGCCCCACTTCGTACTCACTGGAGCAGACACTCCAGGAGTGGGGCCCACAAATCACTATTTTAACAAGCCCTCCAGGTGATTCTGACGCCCGAGACAGTGTGAGAACCACAGTTCTAAGCAAACTATTTGCCTCCTCCTTGCTGTCCTCCTGAATAAGTGGAACCATCTTGGAATGGGGTGGGGGACGGTGGAGGGAGGGAGGTGGGGTTGTGATGTCTCTCCGTAAGCCCCAGCCAGGCAGCCCCCACCTGTCCCTGCTCTGCCTCCTGGGCTGGGCAAGGGCTCCAAATTGCCAGACATGATGGGCAAAGTTGCTCCAGGAAGTGGCTGTGAGTCTGGCCTCTCTGCTGGGGTAGTTACAGGGGCCCAAGCCAGCCGCCTCCCGTGTGCCACCTACATTTGTATAGATGGAGGAACTGAGGCCCCAGACAGGGTCAGAGATGATCTTCCAGTCCTTAGGTGCTGTGTGAGGGCAGTCACACTCCTTCTGGCAGACACAGCCGCACCCCAGCTCAAGGCTCCATCCCCCATCTCCTCCCTCCCTAAGCCCCAGACATTGATCTCTCCTGCTGCCCAAAGAGTGGGCGTCTGTGTGAGGACCCCTCGGGAAGGCCGAGGCAGCGTGGAGGTCGACCTGAGCTGCACTTCTAGCCCCAGCTCTGTCACGGATTCTGTGTGATCTTGAGCAAGGGTATCGCTCCCCGGGCCCCCTTTCTTTCTTGGGAAGTTGGGAACAATGAGTCAGGCACCCGGAATGCAAGGTGCTGCCTGTGAGGCTAAGTCCATCTGTTTGGCTGTGTGAGGCATCAAGGATAAGAAAACTCCCACCCAGGGCATAAAGGCACAGAGAGGTGAAGTTCGGGGTCTTCTTATTTATTTATTTTTTATGTAAGAAATATTTTATTTCTTTATTTTTAGAGACAGGGGAAGGGAAAGAGAGAGAGAGAGGGAGAGAAACAGCGTAAGTGCCGGACTGGGGACTGAACGCACAACCCAGGCCTGCGCCCTGGCCACCTTTTGCTTTGGGGGATGATGCCCAACCGGCTGAGTCACAACAGTCAGGGCCCAGAGGCTTTTAAACAGCATCTATCAAGTGGAGTCCATCCAGGTTAGGGGCCTGCCTTCGCTTCCTTTCTCAGGAAGAATGCCGGGGACCGACGGGTCAGAGGTACGTGCGCTAAAAGCTCCGGGAGCCTCTTCAGTGGGTGCACAGTGGGGGCTTCGGTGACACCATGTCCCGATGTTTGTTTAACTTGAAATTCTGCTATTCATTTACTTGGTCTTTCAACAGCACTACAAAATAAATAAATAAATAAGTACAACAGGGTAAGGGGAGGAAGAGTGTAGACAAGGCCATTATTTTGGAGAGGGGGTGGTTGAGGACTCAGGGAAAGTGATGTTTGAATGGAGACCTGGATGACTAAGAGCGATAAGTAGTCAGGGGAAACAGCAAAGTAAGTGCAAAACCTGGAGGTAGAAATGCATTTGGTGTGTTCCAGCAAGGGCCAGGAGGCCAGAGTGCTGGAGCCCAGTGGTTCCGGGTTGAGAGGGGAGATCAAGTTCAAGAGAGTGGGGCAGGGGGCCGGTCTCAGAGAGCCTGGCCCGACCTGCTGTATCGAGGGGCTGGGCTTCTCTCTCTGCGGGATGGGAAGTCAGTGGAGGGGTTTGAGGAGGAGGATGGTTTCTGGTTTTGCGCCAGAGGAAGGTCACTTGGCTGCTTTAAGGAGAGTGGGTGACAGCAAGGGGAGGCCAGGAGACCAGTCAGGGGCCAGCAGGTGGTGACCGAGTCAGGACAGTGAGCCGTGGTCTGTCCAGGGATTATTCTGAAGGTAGAAACCATAGAAATTTCTAAAGGACGGGATGTGGAGGGTCAGGGGAAGGAGAGTCAGGGCAACTCAGATATTCGGCCCCAGTCCCTGCGTGGTGCCATTATTGAGATGGGGAGACTGGAGAGGAGCAAAATTGGAGGGCAAATCCAGAGCGTGTATTTGAACACATTCAGTATGAGAGGTCACTAACATCCGAGGAAGGACATTGAGCTGGCAGTTGGACACGTGAGCTGGACTCTGGGGAGAGGCTGCCACACTGTCACACCTGCTAATGGCGGTGGCTATTGTGTGAAGGGGGGACAGGACCGACAGTGGTTTCCCAGCCCCTTACCCCACCTCCCATTTGTATTTTTAAGGAAATGTTTTAAAATATTAGCTTGTGATTACCCATGTTTATTCTTTTTTAAAAAGGATTTTATTTATTTATTTTTTGAGAGAGGGGGAAGGGGGGGAGAAAGAAAGGGAGAGAAACATCAGTGTATGAGAGAAACACCAGTTAGTTGCCTCTCACTCACCCCCAACTGGGGACCTGGCTCACAACCCAGGCATGTGCTCTGACTGGGAATCGAACTGGCGACTTTTTGGTTCACAGGCTGGTGCTCAACCCACTGAGCCACACCAGCCAGGGCTACCTATGTTTATTCTAAAAAACATTGGGGGTATATAGTCCATAAAAGACATCTACATTTTAAAAATTAGGATCACATTGTCCTTAATGTTTTCTAATATGCTTTTTTCACTTAACATATTGTGAATTTGTGTAATTCTTGGTGTAGAAGGAAAAATGTTGAGAAAAATTGTTTTTGAAACATCCAGCAGGCAGAGCCTCGGGTGGTTGAGCGGTAGGACTGAGGGTTACTGTCCAGCACTGGGGTGAAGTTCACCACGATTTGGCTGCAGCCCTTTCCAGAGGAGGGGGCTGGGTGAGATGCCCTCAGGGAGGGCCCTTCTGCCCTGAGCCCGGCGCCTGCGACAGCTCCCACCCCCAGTGAGTGTGGCCGCTGCAGGTTCCGCCGTCAGTAATTGACCAGGAGGAGCTGGCGCTCCCCTCCCCCTCCCGCCTCCTGTTTCAGCTGACTTCGCTCTTGTCTGGAACGGGCTAAGGAGGCCCCCTCCTCCTCCTCCCTCATTCATTCAGAACCCTTCACTGACATCTGCCTCCTGCCTCCTTCACCCAGGGCCGCATGCTGGGACGCAGCCCTGCGCCTGCCTCCTGCGCCTGCCTCCTGCGCCTGCGCCTGCCCTCCAACAGGCCGGCCGTGCCTCTCCAAGGAGGTGTCAGTGGGTCAAGGTGGAGTCGTGCCCTGACCGTGTTTTTCCCCCTGTTAGCCGCTGCTTTACAAGTGAGGAGACTGGCTCAGAGAAGGCAGGTGACTTGCCCAGGGCCACACACACAGCAGGACTAGAATTCAAACCCAGCTCTCCGACTCCCCAATGATGCCCCTGTCCCCATGAGTAAACACAATTTTAGCCGTGCAGAGAGTGATTTGGGCCACCTATGTGGACACCAGCGCTGGAGGGAACAGTAGGGTAGGGGGCATCCCAGAGGGCTCCTCAGAGCACAGAGAGTTGGTGGGGGAGGGCGAGCAGTCTCAGCAGGCTACCATGGTAGGGCGTTTCAGGCAGAATGCAGCATCAGCAGTCCCGGGTGCAGAGACTCTGGGGACCTTTGGGGAAGGCGGTGGGTTGGTCCACAGGGGATGCATTTCCAGCAAGTCCATTCCTTCAGGTGCCTCTTCCAGGGCACGAGCATGTCCAGCGCCCCCCAGCCCATCCCAGAGAGGAACCGTCCTGGAGCCCATCCCCGTTCCCTTTTGCTGCATCTGCAGCTGAGCCTCATCTTGCCTCCCTCACGCGTTCACGCCCTCTGGAGGCCACTAGCTTCTGTCCTTGTGCCCTTCCCTCTGCCTGTCCACTGGAAAGTTAGGAACCCTGGCTCCAGTCTCATCCTGGACACACCTTGGGCAGGGCCTTCCGTTCTCTGGGCCTCGGTCTGTGCGTGTGCGCAGTGGGGTTGAGAGAAATGGTGGAGGGACTGGGTTCTGAAGTTCCTTCCTTGTCTAAACGTCTGGCTCTGGGCCACTCGGTCACTTCCTGCTGCCTTCAGGGGAGTCCTGGCCTCCCTGGCATGGCTCCTTGCTGCCTGACTCCCCTCTTCACCCCCCCCCCCCCCGTGTCCTTCTCCTGTGCCTGTCCTCCCTGATCCTCTTCTTCCCATTGCTGTCTCATTGTTGAATTTCTCAGGGGCCCATAAAGGTAGGGTCGGTTGGCTCCATTCTGCAGATGAAGCCATGCTTTTTGCCCCCTCGGGGATCAGAGAATGGTACATGGGTCTCCCTCAGTCACTGATTTTCTCTGCCGAGCCCCCGCCCCATCTGATCTGTGGAGCACTTCTCTTAAAACAACCTTGAATCTGAGCCAGGGACTGAGGCCACACTTGAGAGTGGCTGAGCCTGGGCGTGTTCCTGACTGTGGGAGCCTGGGCCAGTCTGTTCCCTCTGCCAGCCCAGAACAACCCGCCACTCAAGGCTGAGTGACTACCTTCTGAACCGCAGCCTGCATCCAGGGCAGTGGACAGAACTCTGAGGTACCTGTGAGCTCAGTAGTCCGGAGAGTGGGGGCTTCTCCCTTTGGTGTTCAGTGCAGAGCCACAATTCCAGGCAACTCTGATTCTGACTCTTATTTGCTTTCCAGACAACTCTTCTCAAATAATGCTTCCCTCCTCCTCCGACTCCACAGCCCCTGCTGAGGCTCCTTGGCTAGCCTGTCCATGTAGCAGTCTAACCCTTCCCTTGATGCTACAATTGTAGATTTTTGCTGGTGTTCAGCTGCCTGGTGTTGTCTGTGCTGTCCACTATCCAGGAGCACCAGGAACTTGCCAACGAGTGTCTCCTCATCCTGGTGAGTGCTGGGTCCCTGTCTGAGGGAGGCTGTGTGAGGTGGCATCTCTGGGTTCAGGGCGAAGGCTGGAGAGAGGCACCTCACCGTACGGTAGGTGTTGGGGGACTGGGGCTTATGAGGGGCCGAGAGAGGAGGTGAGTAGGTCCCACTTCTTCTCAGGACCCAAACTGCTAATGTCACCCGTAGTGAGATGTTCGTTTTTTGTTTTGTTTTTTTCTCCCTAACCAAAAGCATCTGGGAGGGTGACAGCTTAAAGACAGCCACCCTTATGTCACTCAGTGTGCTTTTGAGAGTCTGGGGTGACCGGGAGGGGGAAGGTGGGGTGAGGAGAAAACCCATACAGTTCATGTGCACAGAAAGAGGACAGACTTGGACTTTGGGTCTCTGCGAAGGTGCCACTAGCCTTCGAGAACCCTCCTCAGGCTCATCCAGGTGTAAGAAACTCCAGGAGAGGTGGTTCGAGGGACCCTAGTACCCCTCACCCAGGGACTCCAGGCTTTTTCTGGGCTGTGGGACCTGGGCCCGGGTCCTGGAGCCTGGGGAGAACTCAGGCCCCGGGCCCCGCAGGAATTTGTGATGATCGTGGTGTTTGGCCTGGAGTACATCATCCGTGTCTGGTCGGCTGGGTGCTGCTGCCGCTATCGAGGATGGCAGGGCCGCTTCCGCTTTGCCAGAAAACCTTTCTGTGTCATCGGTAATAGAACCTAAAGCCTTTCCCTCAAACTTCCCTGCACCTGACCCTTGACCCCAAGCCCCAGAGTGGACATCCTGAGCCCATCCCTGACCTCACCCTGGCTACTGGCACTTGACTCAGTGGAACCTCCCAGTCCCCCACACAGTCCCACGATCCCACCTGGGGCTCCTGACGCAGGGTGGGTTGGTTCGCTGGCTCTGGCTTTGACCTCACCCTCCCCTCCCTTGCAGACTTTATCGTGTTCGTGGCCTCAGTGGCTGTCATCGCCGCGGGCACGCAGGGCAACATCTTTGCCACGTCTGCGTTGCGCAGCATGCGCTTCCTGCAGATCCTGCGCATGGTGCGCATGGACCGCCGCGGGGGCACCTGGAAGCTGCTGGGCTCCGTGGTCTACGCGCACAGCAAGGTGAGGCCCCGCTGAGGGTTTGTCAGAGACTCTGCGAAGTCTGGCCCCAGAGTGGAGAGCAGCGTGGCCGGAGGGGAGCCGGGGGAGGGAGGTGGTAACGGAGTGGAGTGGAGCCTGGACCAGAGCCGGGTGTAAAAGAGTGAAACAAAGCGGGGGTGGGGGTGAGATCTGGACCAGAGCGGGGTCTAGGAGTCTTGACCAGGCCAAGAGGCAGGGCCTGAGGTGTAGGGCTTGAAGGTTTCACTTAGAAACTTCTGGGTTGGCAGGTCTATGTGCACAGCAAAATGGGAGCTGGGACGGGGTCTGAGGGTGGGATGGGGGATGGGACAAGATGGGCTTAGGGGCGAAGGTCTGAGCCCAGAACCTGCAGGGTCAAGGGCGGGGTCAAGGAATGCCAATGCAGTTTTGAGGGCCGGGCAGTTTCAGGAAGGAGGGGCACGGCCTCCTTGAGGGGAGAAGCTGAGAAAGGTGGGTAGAGCCGGTGCCAGGGAACCGTGGTACGGAGAGGTGGGGTGCTTTTATCTGCTCCTGCAACATCTATCACCGGCCATTCTGGGAGCCTCCCGGCTCTCACTGGTGGGCGCAGCTTCCCGACTTCCTCATGCCTTTCCCCCTCGGCCCCGCCTGTGGTTTTCTCACCTGTTGCTGCCCCCACAGGAGCTGATCACTGCGTGGTACATCGGGTTCCTGGTGCTCATCTTTGCCTCCTTCCTGGTCTATCTGGCCGAGAAGGACGCCAACTCCGACTTCTCCTCCTACGCTGACTCACTGTGGTGGGGAACGGTAGGTGAGGGTCTGTGTAGGGTTCCCCTTCTCCTTAGGACCATCCCTGACCATTGCGACTTCTGATTCAGGGTTGAGCCTGTCCCTGTCTTTCCTGCTATGGCTGGGACCTGCCCTGCCCCAATGACCAGCCTGCATGCTGGCCCCTCAACTTGCCCCAGTGGACTGCTCGTGCCCTCATCTAGTCCCAGATGTCAAGGCCCTGTGACCTAATGTTCTTGCTTGGGGCTGCAGTGGGGGTGGGATTTGTCTGTGCCCCTAACCACTCCCTGTGATCGGCCCCCTGTGAGCACCCAGGGGGGCCCTTTCCCTCTTGATCAGGCTTCCCTCTGCCTGTGCCCTCGGCAACTCTTGTGGGTGGCCCCTGCGACCAGCCCTGTGGGTGACCCATTTGTGTTCCCAGATTACACTGACGACCATCGGCTATGGTGACAAGACGCCTCACACATGGCTTGGCAGGATCCTGGCTGCCGGCTTCGCCTTACTAGGCGTCTCCTTCTTTGCCTTGCCTGCTGTGAGTCCTGGTCTGCCCGGGGGAGAGGGGGCCTGCTAAGCCCTTATTCTGCATCAGCAGTGGGGGGCACCTCCGAGGGGAAGACATTGCCCTTTGTTGTCCCCACTTCCACATTCCCCCAACTGTGCTTGTCCCCCTAGGGCATCCTGGGCTCTGGCTTTGCCCTGAAGGTGCAGGAACAACACCGGCAGAAGCACTTCGAGAAGCGCAGGATGCCAGCGGCCAACCTCATCCAGGTACAGGATGCCTAGGAAGCCCCTGAACTGAATTGGTGTGTCACCACTGTGTGCTGACTCTTGTGTCCCAGCTTCACAACTGTGACTCCACTTTGAAGCTCAGAGAGGAGATGTGACTTTTCTGGGTCAGATGCCAAGTCAGGAACAGAGCTGGGGTGCTGACTCAGGTAGTCGAAAACGTCCCTGGGCACCGGACGCCCAGTTTAGGATTCGCCAGAGCTGCCCCACTGGCCGACTCAGGTGCCAGCTCTGTCAGGCCTGAGGTGGCGCACAGCCTGGATGGGAGGCCCTGGGTGCCTGGTGGAGACACTTGTCAGCTGTGCAGCCAGCAGCAAGCCTGATCCACTCCCAACACCTTAATTTGTTAATTCATCCCACAAGCCCTCCCCATATCAAATGAACTTTGTCACTACAAACCAACATCCCTTTCATTTCAATGCCTTGAAAGAAAGAAACAGTTCTCTGAAGGACTTCTAACTGGGGGCCTTGAAGGGGATTCAGGAAGGACTGTTCTGGGAAAACGACACTTGAGCGGAGAGCTGGATGATGGGTAGGTGTTAATTAGGTGATGGGGTGAAGGGGGAGCATTCAGGGTAAGGGGACAGCATATGTAAAGGCCCTGGTGGGCTTGGTGAACTTGAAGGAAGCTAGCATGGCTGGAACGGAAGGCTGAAGGAGGAGTGGATAGTGGGTAGCGGGCAGGTGGTCCAGGCCCAGACCTGGGGGCCCCAGGGAGGAGTTTAACGTTTTCCTAAGAGCCATGTGGAACCATTGACAAGTTTGAAGGAGGGGAGGGGGTTACAAGGTTTGATTTGTGTTTTGAGAAGTGGTGAATGGATTTGAGGGTGACTTGGGTCAGTGCGGGAGACCGGTGAAGAGACTCTGGCAGCGGTTTGGGTGAGGCGGATGCTGGGAGATGTAGACCAGGGTCGCAACAGGTGACGTGGAAAGAAATGGGCAGACGCTGCATATTCAGGAGATGAAATCAGCGATATCAGGAAGGAGGGAGAGGGAGATGGTGGGGTGACTTCCCGGTTTCTGGCTTGCCCAGCGGGATGGATGCTTGATGGCCCTGCTCCCTGGAGTGGGGCCAGATTTGAGACATGAAGAACGTGAGTTTGGCTAGTGCGCGTGGAGGCCGAGGGTCTTCTCAGCCCCAGGGGGGCGATGTTGAGCAGGCAACCAAATGTGCAGGTGTGTAGCTGAGAGGAGAGCAATGGGCTGGGCAGACAAGTAGAGCCCTTGCTGACAGCAGTAATAAAGCCTTGGGTGTGGATGAGCTCCCCTAGTGGGGAGAGGAAAGAGGGAGCAGAGAAGATGGTCCAGAACTGGGCTTTGAGGAGCCTCAACATTTTGTGGCTGGGCAGGAAAAGTTGAGCCAGCCGGGGAGACAGAGAAGCGGCAGCCAGGAGGGTGGGATGGAAAACAGGAGTGTGCGGCCCCCGTCTGCCCTGCTGTGCTGCAGCACTCTGATGGGGCATGAGCTGAGACAAAGGCTCTGATTTCTATGACTCTGTGACTCAGCCTTGGCTTCTCCCTGGTCAGGAGTGTGTGCAAGAGACACTCCTGCGGGAACAGTTCAGGGAATGTTGGCACAGCCCAGGTTGGCGTGCCACCCTCTGGCCCCCCACCCCATGTCTGACTCATTCCTCCTTATCTCTCCTCCCTGCAGTGGAATTCTGCTCCCCATCCCTGCTATCTGCAGCTACCAGCCCAGCCTTTCCTTCTCGGCATCCCCTGGGGCACAATGGCCACTGCCCCAGGGGAGCTGGCCTTCCAAGGGGCAATGTAGGGGCAGGCAGCTGGCACTGTCCATGCCGAGAGACAGCTGGTATTGTGGTGCCCATAATTAATGAGACAGTCTGGCAGCTGCTCCCCAGCCTAAGCCAGGGGCCTGTGCAAGCAGGAAGTAAAAATATTCCTGTCCGGGGAGGGTGCCTTGCTGTGGAGTTCATCCGTGGGCAGTCCGTTAAGGGCATGTGGCACCCAAAACTGGGGGGCATGCAGGGCCGGTTCTGCCTCATCCTGCCTAACAGCTTCCATGCCTCCCTGCCCTCGCTGACCACCCCACTCACTGTCCCTCCCTGGCTCTTCTCCTTACCTGGAGGGAAGGAAACAGACCTTCCTCTTGTCTGGCGCTCATCCCTCCTGCTGCAGAGGAAGCCTGCAAGTCCGTGGATGCCGAGGGAGGTGATGCTCTGTCTTCCCCTCCTCAACCCCAGGGGCAGTGACAGGCAGCTGGGAAAGATGGGGTGGGGTTATTATTAGTAATAACGATTCACTCAGTCAGCATTCATTCCTCAAACATTTGCAGAACAGTTTCCATGCACCAAGGTTACAGTGGGGACCAAGACACCGCTTACAGTCTAGGAGGAAAGACATTAATCACATACACAAAGCATAGATATCTATCAGCTGTAGTGAGGGAGATAACAGGAGAGTTTAAAGGGGGAACTTGGCATTTAAGCGCCAACTATGTGTGAGGCACTGCACTTGGCATTTCACATACATTCATGCATTTAATCCTCGAAACACCCTGTTAGGTAAGTAGCAGTACATCCATTTTACAGATGAGGCAACTGAGGCTCTACAGCTTTATGTAACTGGCCCACCCTGTAAGGGTCGCAGCTGGGATTGGACATGCAGGTCTGCCTCAGGACTGAACCCCAGGTCTCCACGGCCACCCTCTCAGTCCCTTGGCTCTGAAGCTGACCTGCTCCTCACCTTGGGGAAGTCATTTCTCTCTAGGCCACCATGTGTTTGGTGGGCCTGATTGGTGGCTATGGAATTGGAACTGGCTTCTGCTTCTGTGCACCCTTCAGCTGGCCCAAGGCCTGGGTGCTGTCAGGGGCAGAGGGCTGGTGGGGGGTCGAGGGCCCTCACTGATGCTTTGTCCACCATTTCCCTCCCCCCATACCACCAGGCTGCATGGCGCCTGTACTCTACTGACATGAGCCGCGCCTACCTGACGGCCACCTGGTACTACTACGACAGTATTCTCCCCTCCTTCAGGTAGGCCCTGATGCAGGGGGTAGCGGGGGAAGGGGGCTGATGGTAATGCCCCTTGAGGACAAGTGGCTGGGACTCAGCCCTGGAGGGTGGGAAAGGGGTGAGCACCTGGGGCTGGCTCTGCAGATCCTAACTCAGAGCCGGGAGGGTCCTCTCCCACTGTCTATGGCCAGGGAAGGCTGTGGACACTGAACATAGGGCGTGGGGGGAGCCCCGAGCCCTAGAGAGCTGGCAGTGCCCATGCTTATCCACAGCCAGCTCATCCCCCCTCAGTCTGAGCTGGGGGCAGTGTCAGCTCCTGCCAGCCTGGTGTATTGCAGCTGGATAGAGAAAGTGTGGGGTGGGCAAGAATGGGTGTCCCAGAGCTGGGTGCAAGGGCCTGCATAGCGCCCCTGTGTGCAAATATGTACCTCCTTCTACTGTGCGAAGCAGAAGCTTAGGGCTCAGAAGTGAGTTTGCCCCACTGGCCCAGGCTGGGGTAAGACTGCACAGGGGGCGTTATTAATAGCATCATCAGGATCTGTGTGGCCAGGTGCTGGGCCTGGCCTTGGGCAGGAATGAAGACCAAGGAGCACGGCCGGGTCCCGTGGGCCGGCGGGCATCAAGGGGGTGTCAAGGCAGGCCTGGCTGCTGTGCTCAGCGCTTCTGCGGGTGCCTTTTTTTGCCTCATTAGTTCTCCAAGAGCAGCTGTTGCACAACCCCACTCATTCCTACATCTGGCCGCCCCCTCCCTGCTCCCTCCCAGCCCTAGGGGATTCCCAGGGGAAGAGCTGGGGAGAAGGGGCTGGGAAGGGGGATTCCTGTAATCACACTGGTTACCCCCATCTCTGCACCTGACAGAGGCAGGCTCCCACCTCAGAGATGAGGAGGGTGGTTAGGTTAGAAGAAGCTGCCCTTTCCAGGAGGAGACCTCAGGACTCAAGCCCTGGCCTTGGGGAGTGGTGCGGGCGCCGGTTTGTTAGAAATATGATGTGTGTGTGCAGGGGAGAGAAGGTTTTGGGGTGAGGCAGTCCTTGGTCCTCTGGTAGGAGGAACAGAGCTTGGTTTAGAGATTCTGGATCCACTGGGCCTCCTGCCCCTTGGACCTCAGTTTCTTCATCTATGCAATGGGAAAGCAGAAAGGGGAGACAGCTTCCTTGGGTTATGAAAACAGGAAATTTCTGGAGAGTTGGGCAGAAGCTGAGCCCCAAATCTGGTCTCCAAGAACCCAGAGCTGCAGGGGAAAGAAGCTGGGCCAGTCACTCTATCAAGTCTCCCTCTTCAGCCTTAGTTTCCCCCCTAAAACCCAGAGCCATATCTGGGGGGCGAAGAATTCAGGGCTGCTCTTGGTCTCCGGGGAGGCACAGCTCCACATCCAGGCGGTCGGCTTGATGGGCAGAGCAAGCTGGATTGGAGCTTCCACTGGCCCCCTGGAGAAGGTGCTCTGGAGTGTGCCACACCTGCACAGCCACACCTGGCATCCCTGGGGATCCCCCAGGTGTAGAAAGGGAGGGAGGAAGGCTCGCCTCCCCCACCCGGAGCCCCTGGAGCACCTCTAGAGGGGCAGGGTCTGGTGGGATATGAGCTAGGAGCTCAGTGCCTGCTGGGTGAGGGGTGGTGCCAGGGCCCTACCTGCCGCTGACGGTGCCCTCTCCTGCAGAGAGCTGGCCCTCTTGTTTGAGCACGTGCAACGGGCCCGCAATGGGGGCCTACGGCCCCTGGAGGTGCGGCGGGCGCCGGTACCTGATGGAGCGCCCTCCCGTTACCCGCCCGTTGCCACCTGCCACCGGCCGGGCAGCACCTCCTTCTGCCCTGGGGAAAGGTAGGGGCCCTGTGGGGCCACCGCCTCCTCTTGCTTCTCCTCTTCCTCTTCATTCTCTGTCTCATCCTGTCTCGGACCTGCCTCCAGCCACTACATGGGTGTCTGGGCCTGCTCTGGGGACTCCCAGGTATTGTCAGGTATAGGCCAAGAGCCTCTCTGGAAGGGCCAGGCTGGACTCATCTTTTTGTCACCTGGGAGAGTGGGGGAATCTGTCCACACCATCCTTTCTCCTCACCTCCTCCATTCATTCCATTGTCTTCTTTCTTTCCCTGTTTCTACGTGCCCCCCTCACTCCTCCATCCCTGCACCCTCATCCCTCCCCGGAAGCTGGAGAGAGGAGGAGGCTGCTGGCCACAGGTGCATACGGCTCAGGTAATCGTGGACATCATCCTGGGGTGTGAGGGCAGGGACCCCTCCCCCAGCATGTTTCTCTAGGAAGGGCTAGACACTGAGCTTGCCTCTTGGGAACGAGATGCCAGCTGGAAAGAGAGCTCTGTGACTAAGAACCACTCTAGGACCTACGTAAACTCGACCAATGACGAATGCTCTTGTCTTGTGTAACCCTTGTCCATCGCTTTGCTAACCCAGAGGATCCTCCTGGGATTTTCCCACAATGCCTTTTCTCCTTACCGAGGGACATTTTGCTGCTCCCAACAGTCTTCTTCCCCTTGACCTGACTTTCCCGGAGCTTTTGCATCTTGAAAGAAGAACTAAGAAATAGTGCTTACTCCCACATAGAATGTTCATAATAGTGGACTTTTAAGCCTCTTTGGATAAAGGAAGCCCCCTCACTCACAGTTTGGGAAAGTGGCTGCCCCTGTGGAGGTATAGCTTGGAGGTCAAGGATTCAATCCCACCTCATTTCCTACCTCTCCTCTACCCATCTCTTTATTTTGTCTCATCTTCACACATCATCCCTGCATCAGCCAGCCAGGCATCAGGGCCTTGAGCTTCAGGTGTGATGCTGAGCCTGGGGCCCAGAACAAGGGAGGAGAGCAGAGGTGAGCCCCTCTGTGGTCAGGAGGAGGAGGTGTGGCGAAAGCTTGCCTCTGCCACCTGATGCCATGTGTCCTTGCAAAAGTCATCAAGTCACTCTGAGCCTCTGGGTTCTGGGCAGAAAATCAGTGATGTTTAGGCTGATAAGGAGCTCTTGGTTCTCTTGGTTTCTGGGAGGAGGTGGTTGCCGTGCAGGGGATGCTGGGAGCAGCATTCCTTCCCTGTTCTCAGTGAGGACGCTTCTTGCCGGGGGCTTAGCAGGAAGCAGGCAGAGTGGCAGAGCCCTTCAGGTCTGGGGCTGGAGGCGGGGGAGGTGCGACTAGCCAGGCCAGACCGGCAGCTCCTGGATCTGCATCCGTGGTGCAGCCCCACTTGGGTTCTCTGTCATGGCCTGACGGCTGTCGTCGTCATCCCATCTTCAGGCAGAAATTCAAAAGTTTTGGCGTTGGTGCAACCTTGCCCAGCTGAGCCAGGGTGCTCTGTGGCTGCCAGTCACTCTGGTCTCAGCTCACCTGAATAGAAAGGCTCTGAGAATGGAGATCAGCTCGGAGACCAGAACCTGTACCACCCCTCACAGCTGCTCTGGGTCTCTAGGCCCCCCAAGGCCTAGGAACAGATTATTGCTGAGCACTTGGCCGTCACTAATTTTTAGCCTTCTGTCTGTCTGCCATGGAGTGTCTGTGTGGCTGGGGCTGGTGGTGGTGGTGGAGTGTCCCTTCTACCAAGGAACCCCAGGGGACTGAGCTGTGACTTCTAGGAGGTCAGGCACCAGACTCAGGAGAGACACTTATAGGAGCCTTGGAATGAGTTCTGGCTCTGCCGCTGACCCCTTGTGTGGTCTTGGCCAAATTCCTTCAGTGACCATATCTTTAATCTTGGCAGTCTGGGCCCCATGCGTGGGTGCCCCCAGTGGGACCCCACACACATACACATACACACCCCTGATTGGCCGCATCCTCAGCGGTGCTTGCTGATGGGCCCAGGTCGAGCACATTCCCAGGACTGTACAAGAAACAGGATTCCTGGGGCCAGACATCATCAGGCCAGTGCCTGCCCTCTTTGGGGTTTTGTGATGATGTGCTAAAGCAGTGTTTCTCAAAGCATGTTCCACGTGCATCTTGGGTCAGCATCCTGTGGGGTATTTGTTGAAAATGCAGGTAGCTGGACCTCTCCCAGAGGAGAATCTCTGGAGAACAGACACAGAAGTCTGCTTATTCAGCCTTCTCCCCAGGAGATCCTCATGCAAAGCTCAAGAACGTCTGCATTCTGGGAATGTGGGCTGGAGGATGACTCTAGTCGGGGGGCCTTCTCTCCCACCAGCAACAGGAGGCCGGCTCCACCTGGAAGCTCCCCATGCTCTGCCCACCTGTCTCTTTCCCACTAACCTCTGTTTGTGTCTTGTTCTCAACTTTCCAGCCAGATGTTTAGTAATAAACGGAGTTTCTTTCGGATCCACGCCAGCTGGAGACCGAGGTACCCCCTTACCTGCTCCTCCTGTCCCCGCTCCTCCTTGCTCCACTCAGTTTGGGGGCTGGAGAGGGGGACAGGACGGGCCAAGGACAAGGTGCATGTGCCTGCCGCCTGCCATCTGCCTCAGGGTCCCAACGAGCCCCTTACCTTCTGGGGGATGCCTCTGCCAAGTCTGGGGGCATGGGCCTGGTGCCCATTCTGCCAGGAGGGACACTTCTAGGAGCCTTGGGATGAGCTCTGGCTCTGCCGCTGACCCCTTGTGTGATTTTGGCCAAATTGCTTCCCTTCTCTGGACCTCAGTTTCCCATCTGTGGAATGGGCAGATTGAACTAGAGGCTCTCTGAGAGTCCCTCCCACTCTGACTGTTGCTGGGCCTTGGCTTTACCTTTCCATCGCCTGCCTAGGGACCTAGCAGATGCCTGAAGGAGTGGGATTGGCACCTCCCTTGCTAATTCCAGGGCCCAGCTCTTTTAGCCACATCACCACTACATTCCTTGGTCCCTGCCCCGAGCCAGGCCCCACAATGGGGACAGGCTGATGAATAAAACATGGTCCCTGGAAAGTTGCAAAGAGTAATTGCTATTCGGTGCAGTAAGTGCAGTGAAAGGAGAAGGCAGAGGGCCTGCGGAGCTTGGGTTGGGCGCTTCACCCCAAGAGGGCCAAAAAAGGAGTGGGCGTGAGGGAGGGTGTTCTAGGCCAAGGAAGTGGCAAGGTGAGGAGGCGAGAGAGTACAGCCATGGCAAAGCACCGGGCATCCCGGCATGGCCAGAGCTGAGGGTGAGAGGTCAGGAGCTGAGGTTGGGGGCAGAGCTGGGTCATGAAGAACCCAAGAGCCCCTGTGGGCCTCATTTTGTCAGCCCTGCCTGGAGGCCTGGGCTCAAGGAGTCCTGGGTTTCCCAGAAGGGCCTCTGGGGGCCTGTGGACTGGGGGGCCCGTGAGTAGGAGATGAGTGACGGGGTTCCTGGCTGCTCTCCCCAGAGGCCCCATTTCCTAGAAATGTGGGTTCTCAATCCGGACCCGAGTTTCTTCACCTCAGCACGGCTGACATTTTGGGCCGGATAATTCTTTGCTGTCGGGAGCTGTCACATGCATTGCTGGGTGTTTAACAGCATCCCTAGCCTGGAGCACACCCCAGTGTGACAAGGAAAACTGTCTCTGACATTGTCACACATTGCCCAGTGAGCAAAATCACCCCCAGTTGATCATGGCCCCGGACCCTATCCTGATTGCTCATTCCAGGGAAAGAACACAGTCCATGCAGTCAGAAAGCTGGGTTCCAGCCTTTGCTCCACCCCAGGAGCACTGGACCCTGGGTGAGTCATTTCACCTCCCTCTACATCTGTAAAACAGGGATGGAAAATACGGAGCCCACCACACGAAGTGACTGAGAACTGGAAGGGCTGAGGCAGTGAGACAGGACCTTGCGTGTTCGAAGGAGCCTGGGAAAGGAAGGCGCTCCTTCGATGCCCGCCGTGTGCCAGGTTTCTTTCCGTTTTCTTTGAGCTTTTAGGCTCCAGAAAGGCTGATGTGAGCCACTGTCTGGGCCCTGCCCAAGGAGCTGGAACCCAGGGCCACCCCTGGGAAAACAGAGCCTTCTCACCCTGAAGAGAAGCCCAGGGCCTCTGGCTGGCTGGGCAGCAGCCCACAGCCCAGGCTTGGAAGCTCCTTCAACCACTGCAAAATCAGAGCTGGAAAAGGACTTTTCAAAGCCTCTAGTACAAGGCCCCAGACCCTTTCCTCCATAAGTCCTGCTGAGTGCAAGCTGTCTTGCTTGCATACTTCTCATGACAGGGAGGTCACCCCCTCCCCCAGAATACCATTGGAGTGATGTGCTGGGCGCAGAGATCTGGAGTACCAGGCCCTTGGCTGAAGGTCAGGGTCTTCTCCACCTCCCTCTCTCCCTCTCCCCCTTGGAGGAGTGGAGGACAGAAGGACGGGGTGCACGGGCTGGGTGGGCGTGGGGGTGCTTGCCAGCATGAGGAGAGCTCGCAGGAATGGCTCTGCAGAGGAAAGTTTGGGAGAGCCAACCTCAAACTTTGGTTGGAATCTTTTGGATGTGTCGAGGGGATACTGGGCCAGCAAACAGCATGCTGGATTGCGGGGACCACCCCTGTCCTTCCCTTCTGATTTTCAGGGCCCTAATCCTTGACCTATAACCTCTCCCCTCTGGGCAGAGGCGCCTCCCTATGAGGATGGCCCTACATCCTGGCTGCCTTCCCGAAGGTGCCCCTGGTTTCGAGGTCTCCCTTACCCCAGGACCCTGACTCTACATGCTGGACCCCATGCCCTGGGCATGGGGGGCCCCGGCTCCCACCCAACCTGAAACCAGAGTCTGTCCTCTGCTATACCCTTGATCTGAAAGTCTTTGAAAGTAGGTGACACAGTCTTGTCCCCAAATTTCTGCCCCACCTCAGGCCTCCTCTGAGACTGGCTGTTGTTCTCCTGAGCCAGGGCCACAAACATTTGGGATAGAAGGGCCCCCAAACATATCTGCTGGGGACCTTCCAAGTGGAGAGCCACAGCAGGGAGGCAGCTGTGACACCCACAGGGCATGGGATGGGGGACGTTTGCATAGGTCCTACTCCAGTAGCGATAACGTGGTCCTTGAACCTCTTGGACACAGAGTTACTCTACCGGGTATCGGTTATCCAGGACCTGTATGGGGACCCCGAGCTCCCCCACTGTCTTTCTCCATGGTCTGGGGAATGTGGTGGGGACCCGGGTGTGGGAAGGGAAGTTTGCGCATGTGCAGAGACGTACCTGTGGGCTCATGTGAGCACAGACGTGTGTAGGTGCGTTTCACTGGGGGCTTAGTGAGCAGGCAGTGGGGGGCATGTGGGACTGAGGAGGGAGAATCCCTGCTCACACAGGCAGGTTATCCGTCCAGGTGGGCACCGTTCAAGCAGGGGAGACTAAAGAAGAACAGGTTATAGATCTCCACTGGGAGGGCAGGCACCAGACTTGTCCTGGGCGTGCACATGGGCCCGGCAGCTAAACCCACAGGGCCAAGGCCCTGCAGCAGGCCAGTATTCTGCACACCCCCGGGCCACCACTTACCCTGAAGTCTGTGTGATGGAGCCTTTAGGATTTTGCAGGGCATTACCTGTGTAGCCGTACTGGGTCCTAAAGCCCTGACCTGGCCAGTGTGGGATTAGATAGTTCCAGACGTAGGGAAAGAGGAAAATATAAATTGACACATGTACGCACACCCCAACATATGTACACACACTGGAACATGTGTACCCACTGTGGCATGCATGCAGATACACACACACACCCTGAACTCCACATAGCCTGCCCTTGTGTACAGCGAGGAGCTGGAGGCTAACCTCAGGGTGCATGGCCAGGTGCCCATCTGGCCTCCACCCTTTAGTGGCCTGTTACCACTTCCACCCACCCACCCACCCACCCATCTGGGCCAGGCCAGCTGTCCTCCTGTCTGTCTTTGACTTCCATCTTGGGTTTCTGTCATTCCTCCCACTCTGACATCTGTCTCCTGTGCACCCCTTATCTGTCTGGGCAATGAGGGGTGGGAGGTCGGGGGTCGGGGGAGGGTCTGCCCAGACTGACCCTGGATCAGCTTCTTGTAAGAGTCAGGGACCCCCTCACTGCACCCTTGTCCCACCCCAGGAAGTCTTCACTTGCTGGAGAACCAAGACCCAATAGCCATCCCCAGGCCCTAAGTGAGCTGCGCCTCCACTCATGCCCACCCTGGCTCCAGCTAACTTGGCTCTCCCCCCCACCCGATCTGCTCTGCCAGCAGCCGGATGGGCCTCAAAGACCGCATCTGCATAGGCAGCTCCCAGCGACGGACGGCCCCCTCCAAGCAGCACCTGGCTCCACCTCCAATGGCCACCTCGCCGAGCAGTGAGCAGATGGGCGAGGCCAGTAGCCCCACCAAGGTCCAGAAGAGCTGGAGCTTCAATGACCGCACCCGCTTCCGGGCCTCTCTGAGACTCAAACCCCGCTCGTCTGCTGAGGGTGAGCCCCTGGGGGTCTGGGGCTCAGGACCTGCTGAGGGTGGAAAGACTTGGTTCTAGTCCTGGCTCTGCAACTGATTCATCAGTTCTAGGCACGGGGCTTCTGGGCTGTAAAATGAGCGTCACAATATCTGCTTTGCTGGGCTCGAGACCAAGAATTGAATAAGAAGGCAGAGAGAGGGTGGCGTTTAGTAGGGGCACCGGCTTTGGAGACAAGCTGCCTGGGTTTGAATCCTGGCTTTGTCATTTGTCCTGAGTAATCTAATCTCTGAGGGACTAGTTCTCCTATCTATAAAATGGGGACAATACTAGTACCTACTTCATAGGATTGTGGTGAGCATTAAACTCACCACAAAGGAGGCCATCCATGGAAGCTGAGCAGAATTTTGGAATATAGTGAGTGCTCATGAAAAGCCAGCTGCATTACAGATGTGACCTGGGAGGGGCAGGGGTGCCTACGTGTGGAGCCTGGGCTGTGCACAGCCCCACACTGGGTTCTCTCTTTACTTCCCCCAACCACCTTGGGAAGTGGGTTCAGTTTTTACCCCCATTTCACAGATGTGGAGACTGAGCTCTCAGCCAGTCAGTGGCAGAGCTGTTATCCTCAACCAGGTCTGTCCAGCTCCATAGTCCACGCCCTCCACCCAACCCCACCTGCAGATACTGTGTGAGGCTGTGAACCTGGTGGTGGTTGCTTTTTTTAAGCTTTCAACCCTCACCAAAGGATATGCTTATTGATTTGAGCGAGAGAGAGAGAGGAAGGGAGGGGGAGAGAAAGAGAAGGAGAGAGAGGAAGAGAGAGAAACATGGATCAGCCTCCTCGTGTGCGCTCTAATTGGAATGGAACCCGCAACTTGGGTATGTGCCCTGACCCAGAATTGAACCTGCAACCTGTTGGTGTACTGCATGGTGCTCCAACTAACTGAGCCATGTGGCCAGGTCAAGAGGTCACTTGTTTGAGTTTTAGCTCTGCTCTTGACTTGCACTGTGACTTAGGCAAGATACTGCCCCTTTCTGTGCCCCAGTGTCCTCCTTGGGAAGACAGGAGGGTAGGACCAAGTCCCCTGGAAGAGTTCTCCCAGATTTGATGTGCTCCAGACCACTGGGCTGGGAAAGGAGGGGGTGGGTGGACAGCCACGGAGGGTGGGGGCAGGAAGCCCCTTTGGCCTTGGAGAGAGGGGACCCGGTTGTGCTGCCTCTGTCCGTGCTGTGTCAGCCCCTCATACGCTGCTGGCTGACACCTGGGAGAGCCCTTTCCTAGAAAGTTAAAGAACCCCACAAACCAGTCTTTGGGAGGAGCGGACCCGTGGGAGTCCAGGCATGGCTGGTGCCGGGCCTCCTCTTCTCTGCTGCCCTAGGATCTACCTGGCCCCCCCACTGCCTGCTCTGTGGGGCCAGGACAGTACCACTTCTCTGTGCAGTGCAGGGCACCAGCCTCGGACAAGCTGGTTCTTTCATCCAGAGGGAAAATGATTTGATGGAGGGGCCTTCCCAGTGGCAGAGCGGGGCAGGGGAGCCAGCCCCTTGAACTTCCTTCCCTCTTGGCCGAAGGATAAGACAGTGTGCAGCTGTGTGCAGAGGCCACAAGCCCGTCTTCTCCGGGACTCCCTGTCCCGTGTAGGGGAGCCAGTGGGGCTTCCTCCAGGGCTTTGTGCAGACTGCCCCGGGCCAGGCCGGAGGCACTCCCACGCACCCGGCCACCTTGTAGGTGTTTACCCCGACTGGCCACAGGGAGAAGCCATGCCACGAGCTGGGGATTTTTACTCTGGGTAGGGCATTATGGGAGGCTGAAGTCTGGTTTGACTTGCGCCCCCGGGAAGGTTCTGAGCCCTTCTGGGCCTTGGTCTCCCCATCAATACCTCTAAGGGTGGTTTGGCATGTAGTGGTAGGGGTGGGAGTGGCCCCTTCTGCTGCCACCACCTGGGTCCCCTGACTTTCCAGAGGGCCCCTCCGAGGAAGTGGCGGAAGAGAAGAGCTACCAGTGCGAGCTCACCGTGGATGATGTCATGCCCGCTGTGAAGACGGTCATCCGCTCTGTCAGGTGAGACTTAGGTCTGTGGGGGGCCCTCCCCCATTCATCTGCCAGCTCATCGCTGCTCCCCATCTGGGGCCTGCCCTCACAGCCAGTGCTGGACTGGCTCCCGGGCACGCCAGCTGCTGCCCGCCTGGCACCCTTGTGTGGGTGGGTGAGGAGGTGGCATATGGCTCCCAGCAGGGTTCCTGCATACTCTTCCGTCTGGAGGGCTGGCTGGGTGGGGCCGTGGGCTCAGCTGCCCATTGCAGCCCCGCTGTAATGCGCTCCCTCTGTTTCTCTCTTGCTCTTGCTCATTTTATGTCAGGCTCCCTTTCGCTGTGTCTCGGTCCTTGGTTGTCCGTCAGCATCTGCCTGCCTCTCCCTGCGTCTCTGTCTTACGCTCTTCCCCTCTCTCTGTTCCTCAGACTTTCTCTCTTTTCCTGGGTGCCTTGCCCTCGGCCTGCCTTTTTCCCAGGACCTCCTCTAGAGCGGTGTTTTTTAAACCACAGGTCACAACAATGTGAAATCAACTTAGTGAAATCAGTATAGTTGGCCATGGTCAGTGTTAAAAAACAATGAATAGAAAATACCCACATGGATCCCAAGTAGTAAGGGTAAATAATGTTTATGAAACATATGTTTCAGTGATTTGTGTACATGTTTGCATGTAGTGGTTTCTGATGTGTGTGCTGGTTTGTGTGTGCTGATGTATTTCTTACGGTAGGTCTTGGTCAAAAGGTTTAAAAACCCCTGCCCTGCTGACTCTACCGGCTATCTCCTTGCCCCCACATCCAGGGGGTAACCAGGGTTTCCTGAACCCCTTAGTCATGGCCCAGCCATGGAACTGGCCCCCAAGCCTCTTGGCATGGAGTCCTGGCCTAGTTTCTGTCTCCAGCCTGTGGCTCAAGATCCAGAGATGCCTTCAGCCCCAGACTCACCTCCTCTCTTCCCTGGATGATGCACCTGCCCACAAGCCTCTTCCCTGTGTGTTCCTTTAAACTCAGAGTCAGCTAGATTCCCCTGCACCCCCTGAGAATCTGAGTTCTCTTCCTGCCCTCTGCACACATCCCGTCTCTCCCCTCCCAGTGACTGGTTTTCGGAACACAGTGGCTGAGTTGCCACCTGGCCCAGGTCAACGCTCCTTGACCACGCCACAGATTCCCTCCCTGACATGCCCCAAGCCTGCTCCCCTTCCTGGGTCCCCATTTCAGGCAGTGGCACCACCATCCATCCAGTCCCCCAAGCCATGGGAGTCACCTTGGACTCAGACTTAGAAGCCTTCAGTCACTTGCAGTCCTGAATTGCTCAAAGCTGTCCCGTATCTCCACCCCACTGCCCCCTTCCAGCTCAGGCCCATCCCCTGGAGTTAGTCTTCCCACCTAAATTTCTTTTGGGAAAATAAGCTCCAGGTTCCCAGGTTCCCTCCAGGGCTGGCAACATGGATGTGTGAAAGCAGAGTGAAGTACGTGGCCCCTTGCCTACCACCCCCACCTCCCATTGCCCAATCCATGCCCGGGATTCAGGGCTCTTTGGAGTACCCTCCTCCAGCCTCTATCTCAAGGCCAGTCTCTTTCCCCTTTTTCCCATATCCTTCCCCCACATTCCACCTCCTATGAATTAGCCCCTTCCCTTCCTATCTTGTTTCAGCTGCTTTGAACTGACTCACACACCTCCATGCCTGCCTGTGTCCAAAAAGCCTTCCTTCATCCCCCACCTCTTGCCCCAGGACTAAAAAGTATCACTTTCAAGGCTTGTCCCCTGACCTCCCCAGCCAAGGTCTCCCTTCTCGTGGCCCTCTTTCTCTCTTCCTTGACATGGCCCCTGTCACCCCATCATTGTCTGTGTTGTCTGACCTCCACCTCAGACCAGGGCTCTTGAGGCCAGGGATTGGATCTGACACCCTTTCATGTGCCCAGGGTCCAGCACAGTGATGCCGGCAAGCATTTGCGGAGCGAATGCAAAAGTGTCTTTCTGCAAACTGTCCTCAGCCACAGTGTGCCACCTAGTAGAGAGCAACCAGGCCCCGTCTCTGCCTTCCCAGGTTGATGCGATTGCAGATACAAGCACATTAGCAAACAAACCTACGAGATGGGGCGTGGATGGGGCTGGGCGTGCTTGGTAGTAGGGAGCCTGGGAGACCCAGCACAGGCGTTTCACCTCTACCCAGGGAGGAGGAGCCCTGGTGCAGGACAGGGCGTGGCGAAGGGACAGAGAGAGGGGGCTGCGAAAGAATTCCTTTCCTCTGAGACCCTCCCCCCGACAGGATCCTGAAGTTCCTGGTGGCCAAAAGGAAATTCAAGGAGACGCTGCGACCTTACGACGTGCAGGACGTCATCGAACAGTACTCGGCAGGGCACCTGGACATGCTGGGCCGCATCAAGAGCCTGCAGGCTCGGTGAGTACGCAAGACTCCATCCCCCATGGGAGAGCCGGGCAGGGAGGCCTCGACCCTGGATTTGGGGCGACGTCCCCAGGCCAAAGCCCCTCCACCAGCGCCCGAATGAAGCCCGAGCGCCCCCTAGGGGCCACTGTGGCAGCTGGCGTTTCTCACGGCTGAGGCCAGTCCCCTCGCCAGAAGAGCCTGAAGAACCACCCCAGTGGCAGCAGGTCTGCTGTGAGAACCTGACTGACCAGCACAGTGCAGGAGACAGCTTTAGATGACTGTTTCCTGGCCATAAAATAATAGGTTTAAAATAATCAGTGACCTCCCATCTCCCAAGGGGACAGGCACATTGCCCTCCATGCTACCTACCTTTTGCATCTGGAATCTTCTGGCACTTCTCTCCAACGAGCGTATAGGAAGAATCCTCACACCAAGACCCCAGTCACCTGCACCTTGCCTGTCTCCCCCTGTGGCCTGAATTCTCACCTCCTGTTCATTCATTCATTCTCTCCAGAAATAGTCATTGGGCCTTTGTTACTTGTCAGATGTGGAAAGCGAAACAGAGTCCCTGCCCTCCTGGAGGCTTCATTCTAGTGGAAGGAGAACAGATGATAAATCAGTGAAACTGGAATGTATCAGATGACAGTAACTGCTAAGGAGAAAAAGGAGGTCTAGGGTTTTATGGTTTGCAGTTTTAAACAGGAGGAGAGGTGCTATTTAAGAGATGAAGGTGAGGCAGACAGCCCTGTGGCTATTTAAATAAAGATATTCCAGAGTGGACAGTGAGTGTAAAGGCGCCACAATGGGCAGGTGGCTGGGGTGTTGTTTTAGGGGCAGCGAGGAGCTTAGTGTACCTGCTGTGGGAGAAGCAGCAGATGAGGTTGGAAGGCTGATGGAACTTAAACTGCACAAAGCCCTGTGGGCCACTGCAAAGATGTTGGTGTTCATCCAAGGTGAGATGCAAGCATCGGAGGGCTTCGGGCAAAAGACAATGGGCTCTGAGATATATTTTTAAAGGATCACCCTAATTGGTGTGTTGAGACTGGCCTGTAAGGGAGCTAGGGTGGAAGCAGGAAGACCAGTGAAGACGTCACTTCAGACATCCAGAAGCTTTGGACTGGGGGGGGGCAGGGGGGGACAGCAGTGGAGGTGGGGAGAAATCATTAGATTTTAGATACATTTTGAAGGTAGAGCTGACAGGGTTTCCTGATGGGGCTTAAAGGGGGTGGGGTGGGGAAAGGCATCAAGGATGAAGAAAATGTTTTGGCTTAAATAAGAGGAAAAAGTTGCTGTCTGTTGGTACAGGGAAGGCAATGAGCAGAGTAAGTTTTGGTCAGAAAAGTTGGGGTGTATTGGGTTTGCGATGCCTATGGAGTGTTGATCTGGCAGTCCGAGGGGAGGGGAGTTCAGAGGAGCAGTACGGGGCTGGAGATACAGATTCGATGTTAACAGTGTATAGCAGAATGAACACCTGAAATGAAGGCACCCTTAGTGCGTGAGAGTAAATAAGTAGAAGAGTTTCTAGGAGCGAGCCTTGGGTCGTGCAGTATTCAGGGGTGAAGGAAAGCCAGTGAGGTAGAAGAACTGGGAGAGGGTGGTGTTTGGGAATCCAAATGAAGAAAGTGAAAGAAGAAGGGGTGCTTAGATGTGCCCACCGCTGCTAACAGGTCACGGATAATGAATGAGGACTGAAAGATGATCGTTGAATTTAGCAACATGGAGGTCATTTGGAATCTAGACAACAGTAGATTTAATGAAATGGTGGAAATGAAAGCCTGATTGGAGTAGGTTTTAGAGAGAAGGAAAGGAGAGAAATTGGAGACAGAGGGTAGAGGAAACACTTTCAAGAATTTTGCTGTAAAGGAGAGCGGAAAAGTGACATGGGACCAGCTCCCATCTTGTGCGCCTTGTAACCCACTGTGTTTCCCCGCCTTTTCCCAGCCCAGTTTCCCACCCGTCCTCCCATCAAGTGCTTGCTTTACTTGTCAGGCTTTTGTGTGATGCCTTTGCTCAGCTAATTGGAAAACGCTCAATGCAGTGGCCAGGTCCCTCCTTTGGCAAGACGAAACGGCCCCCTTCCTCAGGTAGCCGCCTCCTGGCACAGGCTGTGTCTCCCCTTTCAGCAGGCAACCTCCAGTTCTTGTGGGAGGGAGGAGTGGCGTGTGTCTGGGCCCTTTGACGTTTCCCTTCCCCCTGCGCAGGGTGGACCAGATTGTAGGCAGGAGCCCTGGGGACCGGAAGGCCCGGGAGAAGGGCGACAAGGGGCCCTCAGACACGGAGGCGGCGGATGAAATTAGTCTGATGGGACGCGTGGTCAAGGTGGAGAAGCAGGTGAGTGTGCGAGAGCGTTTCATTGGTGTGGTGGAACTGGTTGTCAACCGAGAAGCTCTGGAAGGTCGCAGGGACAAGCGCAAGGAGAGGGTGCGCTTCTCAGAGTCGCAGCCTAGACCACCCACCAGCCAGGGAGGTTCAAGCAGGACCCACGCACCTCCTGCTCCGCAGAACCCCGCCGCACAGATAAGCCTTGCCTCCCCAGTAAGGCTGCTTAGGATGAACCCACTCTTCCGGCTAAGCTCCGCCCCATTGCTATAATCTCAGATAAATCCGTTTAAGCCCCACCTATTTAATTCAACCCTGCCTCTGTTGTCTCTTGATCGCCTGGACTATCCCAACCTGGCAAAATTTACTTTTGACCAGGGGTAAGCCCAGGTTATCAGCCTCGTCCCACTCTCCTGCCAAGCTCCGCTTTTCCCAGACGCGCCGCACCCGGGACAGGCCCCTCCTCCTGGCGTTGACCCGCCTCTAGTCCCCGCCAGACCCGCCCCTAGCCGCCCTCCTGTCAGGCCCCACCTCCAGCATCGCCCCGCCCCGGCCCCAAGCCCCGCCTCCAGTGCCTCCAAGCCCCGCCTCCATCCGTGCCCTGCCCCCAGGTGCAGTCCATCGAGCGCAAGCTGGACGTTCTATTGGGCTTTTACTCGCGATACCTGCGCTCTGGCACCTCGACCAGCCTGGGCACCGTTCAAGTGCCGCTTTTAGACCCCGACATCACTTCGGACTACCACAGCCCTGTGGACCACGAGGACATCTCCGTTTCCGCACAGACGCTCAGCATCTCCCGCTCGGTCAGCACCAACATGGACTGAGGGGCTTCTCAGAGTCGGACCGCACTCCGCCAGCCCCGGGCCTGGCGCTCGGACCCGCCCTCTGAGGCCTCCGGACTCTTCTCTTACTTGAACTCGCTCCCTCGCGGGGAGAGAGGCCACGTGCAGTATTGAGCTGCCTGGGTGGGCGAGATACCCGCTGTGGATGCCAGCGGCCCGCCCCACCGCAGGAGCGTGAGATGCCAGGCCGCACGGAGGGCAGCAGCAGCGCTGCCCCGCGATCTCTGGGCCCCCCAGTGCCCTGCCCGTTCCAACAAGGCTCAGCCGGCCCGCCTGTCAGGGGCACTGCCCCGGGGAGTGGGAGCGGGTCGCTGAGGCTCTGGGCCCTGAACCAGCTTCCAGCTATGCAAGGTGAGGTCTTTGGCCCGCCCTTCGGACAGAGCAGGGAAGCCCTCCCGCCAAGTCCCTGCCCCCTTGGGGGTGGGCCCAAGGTGCCCTCACAGGTACCCAACAAGCACAGATCTCTGCCATAAGGCAGGTGGGCACCATATATGCAAACTATGTTAAATATGCAACTTTGGAGACCCCTATGGGGTCCCTCTGCTCATCCCCTATTGGGAGATGGGCTCCCAGCAGTAGCTGGTTTCAGGCTGCTTGGCCATGATCCCCATTTCCACTCTGGCTTATCACCTCTCCTCAACCAGCATGGGGCCTGTTTCTCCCTTGCCTCCCCCAAGAGCAGTGCCTGGGCCTTTCTTCACTTTTCCAGTGTCCCCTCCCAGGAGCTCCCTCTTCCTCCTCTTTGGCCCTCCATTCACATTTGACAGCACAAGTTTCTGTGTTCTCCCCCAAAGCCTCCCACAGACAATGCTTCCATGTTATGCAAGCAAGTCCCTTTAGTTTCCCTGTGCCTGCAGAAAGTCTCTCACTCACACCGACGCACGCAGTCACACACTCGGAGACATGAGCACAGAGCCGCTTAGCCTTTCCTGGCGCCCCCCCCCAGCAGATGACAGTGGACCGGCCTTGCAGGATGTGGTCAAGTGGTGCCCCCTACTGCATCCAGGTAGATGGGGACCTCTGAAGTGACCCCAGGTCTCTCCAAGCCCCACCCCAGAGCTTTAACAGTGCCCCTTTCTCAAGACTACTCCTTACTGGTCCAGGAGCCCCAAGTGCTGCCTCTGCCTGCCCCCAAGGGGCCTCCTTGACGTTGCCACAGCACAGCTCAGGCCTGGGCCTCTGGGGCCTGGATAGCCCTGAAAAGACCCCAGGCGCTTCCCCAGGGGGTTATCAGGCCCGCTCCTATTTAGGCTTGCTGCCTTCCTCATCACTGTAAGTCCCAGACAAAAATTGTGCGCCGAGCGACTACCATTTTCAGGCACCAACTGTGCAGCTAATACTCACCTGCAATTTCCTCTCCCTCCATTCCCCACTCTTTCCTTTTGTCAGCAGCCCCTACACTGGCGTCAGCCCCCATCCACTCCAGGCTCCCAGCACCACTTTGGCATCCCTACCCCTTTGTCCCTCTTCTGTAAAGCTACTGCAGGTGGCAGCAGAGTGGTGGGTAGTGGGTCACCCAGGGTGACCCTCTGTGGGGTGCCTGTGAACAAGGGGCTCGGGCCCAGCCACCTGTGTCTCATGACTGGGACCTGCATGCACCAGCACCAGGGCTGGGGTTGGCTCTTGCTCAGCCCCACGGTGCCCAGCCTCTGCCCCAACATGCCCTCTGCATGTCACCATCATGCCCTGGATGGAGCCTATTGTGGCTCACCTCGCCTGCATTGCACTGTCCCCGGAGAGCCACCCCTTGGCCCGTCAGAGGCGGAGCTGCAGAGAGGGGTGGGAGAGCGGGCTCACCCTGTGACCAAAGGAGACTGAGGCAGGAGCCCTCGCTCCTTCCACCATCAAGGTTCCCCACCAACCTGGTTCTCAGATATGCAAGTACCTCACTTTGTTAACTTATTAACTTATTGGTTTCATTAAAGTTTTCAGTAGGAGGTGGTTGGCCTTGGCTGTTTGGTGGCTGTAGTGTGGGGCACCCGATCTGGGGGTGGCATGAGCTGCTTTGGATTAGGGAAGACTTTTGATTGTAACAACAAAATGCGATCCCTTGTGGCTGAAGTGAAAAATGAAAGTCATCGGCCCAGATAATGAAAAAGTCTAGGGGTTGTGTGTGGCTCCGTGCATGGCTAGGTCTAGGCGACAGAACATGTCAGCATCCCATCTTCTGTCTCAGCCTCCCTCTCAGGCAGGCTCGCCTCTCAGAGGGCCCTCCCTGCACTTCCAAATTTACTTTATTTTGGCTCAATGCCCTGGTGAAAAGCAGCGCCACTTTCCTAATAGCTTGCATCAGCCAGGGTCCAGTCAGGAAAACTATACTAGGTTTTCAACAAAGAGAATGTACTATGGGGAGTGGGTTACACTGATGTAGGTGGGCTGAAAGAACACAAGAGAACACTCGGATAACCTGGAGAAAAATCACTGTAGTAAGCTGCTACTGCACCAAAAGCAGGAATATAGAGAAGCTTGATTGGGGGAACCCTACAATGCTGGCCTCAGAAGTCTGAAAAGGGGGTGCTTTATGGTCGGTGATGGTAAAATACCTCTTGGGGATACAGTGAGGTTTGTCTGGGAATGCAGAAAAATGCCAGAGGGTGCAATCAGCTGTGGTAAGGTCAGTAAGCAAAGGAAGGAGGTCTCCTCTCTTGATCTCCAGTGGTTCCCTAGGACTGATATTGTCAAAGGAAGCTGACAGGGGAGAGTCCCAGCCCCAGGATCGCAGGGCAGAGTGCAGAAGGCTGAACTGGGGACAGAAAGACAATAGCTTCATAACCACTACAGTCCACCCCTTTGAACACTCAGTATCCAAACACATCAATCCACACATGTTTGCACCTGTATATAGCAACAGTAGCTTCCACCTAATAAGATGAAACTATCTTGCATACAATTGAAGACACTCTAATTTTCTCCCCTCCCAAAAGGGAAAAACACAAAGTCCCACCATCTGAAAGATGCCTCCATCTCCAGGAGTGAGTTATCGAATCCACATTTAGGTGATGTTAATTATGCCTCTAATTCCGTTGCAACCCGACCTGCAACTAAATAATAAGCTGTTAAAGTAGCCATCCCAATCTACATAAAATAATAGAGGAAAAGGAAGAGGAAGGAGAAAATAAGTTGCCTAATATATACCGCACACGTGCACACACACACACCAAGCAGGGACGGAGATACGCAAAGCTGCAGGAGACCTGGTAGCTTGTCCCAGTGCCAGAGTGGATCTGCACTATCCATCCGCTGCTGATGTCTATCTTTTGTCTTCCACTGCCCTTCCGTGTTCCCATGGCCCTCAGCCAGGGCCTCAGCTGGTTAGGGTTCTTTATGTGGTTGGGTCATGCCTTCAGGGTCTGAACCCTCAATGGCCCCGCACGGTTTGGGGTGCCACCTCGTCTCATGAATGTTTACTACTGCATGTGGAAGTACTAAGAGGCACCCTGGGCCGCAGACTAGTCCTCCTCACCATCATGTAGCAGAACCCCAATTGCCCTTTGGTAATGAAGATCAGTCAGGCAACCAGCACATCAACTCTTTCTTTACCTGTTGATTTAGCAGCATGAGGAGCCCAAAATGGCCAGTTAGAAGTTCCAACTTCCAACTCAGTGCAAACTGTGTTGCTTCCCTTCCCTGGGCTGAAAACTAGCAGAGCCCAGTGCCATGGGGGCAAGAGGCAAACATTTTGTGAGTGGGTGTACTAGCCTGGATGGTGGTCATGCAATGGTACTAGGTCTTACACTCTGGAATTCGTAAAATGCTACCTTGTAAGGGGAAAAGATCTTTGCAAATGTGATTAAGTTAATGATCTTGATGTGGGGAGATTATCCTGGATTAACCAGAAAACCCTAAATCCAATTGCAAGTGGTCTTTTAAGAGAGAGACAGAGGGAGATTTCATGCATGCAGAAGGAGGGGGGACAATATGAGGACAGAGCAGAAACCAGAGCCCCGTGGCCACAGCAAAGGAATGCTGGCTGCCGCCAGCACCTGGAAGGGTCCAGGTGAGACTCCCCCAGAGCTCTGGGGGGAGGGTGGCCCTGCTGGAACCTTGATTCGGGCCCAGTGAAACTGATGGACTTCTGGCCTCCAGAACTGTGAGGGAATAAATTCTGTTGTTTTAAGACACCACGCTTCTAGTACCCACACAAAATTGTGGGGTTTGGTCTAACAGGGAGAAAGCCACTCTCACTATCTCCCATCGATTCCTGGAAACTTCTAGTCTGGCTGTGTTAATGAGGACGAATCAGTGCTCTCTCCATGTTGGAAAGGATCCAGTGGAATCTGTCGGCACCAGGTGGCTAGGTGAACCCTTTTCAATGGTGATGTATTGGGTATCCAACATTTATCTCTGCTGACAGTAGGCTGGACAGGCAGTAGAGGCATTAGCCAGATCAGCCTCGGTAGGTGCATGGTGTTGAACCTGTAGACAGTGTCCACTCTTGCTGCCATCACCACGTTGTACACGAGTGTGCTGAGCGAGGGACTGCAGAAGAGGCCGACTGACATCCACGGGGTGTGCCATCGAGCCATCTGATTACCAAGAGCCTCCTCTGCCAGGGATGCCCTTTGGTGGATTCCACTTGCGTCAGAAGTCTCCTCACACTCTGCGCCCGTTTCTGAAAGTCTGTCTCAATACCTCTTTCTGTCTTCCTTCTCACAAATCCTCCAGTTCTGTGCTTCCTGGGCCCCTGAACATCCAGCCAAACCAGTAGCTACTGCCCAGAAACCACTGTGGTCCCTACTTCCCGTCATGTCTCAGTCCAGGGAAAACAAACAACCAAATGTTCTGGAGTGTGAGTAGGATTTAGCCACACGTGGGGGCTAGGTGGTGGTGAATGCCCCGGCTGGAGGGCGGAGCCTGTGTAAAGGTCCAGAGGCACCGGAGAGTGTGGAGCACGATAGGAATGGAAAGAGATCCCTGCGAGTGGGCCCAGGAGGCAAGGAGAGTGGTGCAAAATGGGACTTCAGAATCACACAGGGGATAAGGTTTGCAGGATTTCATGACTCATTCCAAAGAGACAGGCCTTAACCGTGGGGGCATTGGGAAACTAGTTACAGATTTTGATCAGGGCTCAAACCAGGGTAGATCTGAATTTTAGAAAGTTTTCTTCCTAGGATGGAAAATGGATTTGAGGAGGCAAGTCTGGATGCAAGGAGACCGGTTAGCAGAGGGGGAGATGTTGATAACTTGAAACAAGTCCCATGGTGCCTCACTAATTTGAGTAAATGTCTGTGGAACACCTGCCGTATGTCAGACCCTGGCTCAGCATAATACACGGAATGCAGGAGACCCACTTAGGGCCCTGAGGTCATTCGGCCTCTGGGGAAAACAGATGCACAATTAACCAGTGCACATGCCACTCTTTATCTCCCAGCTTTGTCTGGCTCAGCAAGGAGCGCTTGCAGGTGGCTATGGGAGTCCGCAAACTGTCATCAAATATGGTCTCCAGAGCCAATATGATTTTAGCTTAGTGTACCGTTTATTTATTTCTGTGTAACAAATCACCCCAAAACTCACAGCTTAAAACAACGACCATTTTACTTACTCTGGATTTTGTAGGTCAGCAATTTAGGCTGGACTCAGCTGAGCAGTTCTGCTGATCTCACCAGAGACTGCTAACGGGGTTGCAATCATTTGGCATCTTGAGTGGGGTTGGGTGGCCCGAGACGGCCTCTCTCACACGTCCGGTGTTTGGTGCTGGCTGTCAGCACCCTGGTGAGTCCACGTGTGGGGTGGCTTATCTCTGCTCCGGGTGCCTTCCCACGCTCCAGTAGATCATACTGAACTTCCTCCCCTGACAAGAGGGCAAAAACATGCTAGGTGACCTCTTTATTGATCGATTGATTGATTGAGAGAGAAAGAGAAACATGGATTTGTTTTCCGCCCGTTTATGCATTCATTGGTTTCTTCCTGCATGTGTCCTGACCAGGA